CTGGTTCAACGCCTCTGCTGAAGCAGGGCCACATACTTTTTGGGATGAGTTTTCTCTCTCACCCTTGGCAACTTCTCTGAATCTGAACTGATTGTATTCATCAACTGGAGTTCCTAATGAGTTGTCCTTTTCCAGGTCTAAATACCTGTGACCACTTTATAATCATAAGAATATATATCTGTCTGTGCATCTAAGTTTTAATAGTTCTTAGCTTATGTAATTACTGAGATGGACTATCTCTGATGTTAATTATACAGATGGCATGTGTGGTGTAACTGATGCATTCTTTATGTTCCTTGCTTTGCCTTCCACTTTATCACTTTTGGAAGTCACTCTCTGCAATACACTGTCTACTGGGAACAACTCTCATCAGAGTGCTGGCATTTCTTTATTGATAATAATACATATTTTCTTACCTGGACATTTCTGATGCTACTGGCACACATACCCATGCAGAAATGAAAACTGAGAAAGCCAGTTTAGCTAACCAAGTCAAAAAAAAAAAAATTGTTTAAGGAACATTTTGAGATTCTGAGAACTGAACTGACTTAGGTTTTTTATTTTATCTGAATGAATATGTCCTCATTGTAGACGAACAGTATTGTAACATAGTACTCTAGCAGTGTGTGCTCTATGTCATATTCATGTCACTCTTTCCATTTATTAAATGCACTTGCTTTTATCTTACATTAAAATCATGATCTGGTTAGTACAGAAACTTGCTGAGAACATTTTACTTCTCTCAAAATTATTTGTAGAAATTCCTTTGTAGATTAAATGTTAATGTGTTTAGTTAATTCCACACCATATCACAAAGTAAACATATTATTTTGTCTCTTAAATGGCAAATGTATGTGTTTAAATAAAATATTTTTTTAAAACTAAGTTTTTCAATTTTACATGAGAAGGACTGTGATCTGTTAATTTAAATAACTATCTTTCTCATTCTCTTTATTACCACATTTAGTTTTAGGCGATTATTGCTATACATAACTCATCAGTAATATGTCTGATATAGATACTGTATTTTGTGTTTGCTACTAGCATAGAACTTACAGTTCATAACAAAAGCATTAAATAATGGCTGAATGGCACAAAAATATAAAGGTCAAGTGCTTTTGAAACTCTGAATCATCAATGTAACAAAATAATCACAAGTGTAATACTGCAGGTGGTCTCAGATGTGCAAAATTGGTTCCACTTCAAATAGATGGCTGATTGTAGACACCAAACATGCTTCTTTCCAGTGATGCCAATCTCTTTTTAAGAATTGGGCTTGGCTTGGCTTTATGGAAAGTTGACAGAAACATTTTGGTGTTTGTTATCCTGAGCCTGCTGAATTTCCACACTGTCTGCTTATGAGCTCACCAAAATAAACACTGTCAAGAATATAGTAGCCATCCTGTTGTTTGCAAGATGTTACAGTCTGGAAAATGTGTTATGGCTTAAATACTTTATTTAATAAATATCTTTTGTTATGTTGAAAAGTATTTTCACTGCTACCCTTAAGAGAAAACCTTAACAGTAGACATAAAGCTCAATGTACTAACGCTGAATGTTATAGTGAGTGTACCTCATAACCAATAATGCCTTCATGGTACTGTCAGCTTTCACTGCTGCCAGCATATATTTCTGTTGGTTTTAGTAGTTGTAAGCAAATGCATTTTTTTTATTTGCCTTCTTAATAATTTATTTACACAAACTTAGAAGGCTCAGTTGCAGTGTGTTTTGGGAGTTGGTATGCTCTTGTTGAGGTATAAAAAGAGATTTATGTAGGGATAGATGTATGTCTGGTGGTGCGGAACCCTGTTTTAAATTCGCATTTTATACCTTTGGAATCTGTTATGTGAGAAAGTGAAAATTATACATGTTCACTTCTCTAAAGCACTTTTTGATCTGCAGATGCAAAGGAAAATACCACTATGCAAAAGATAGGCCAAAAAGACTTAAAAATGCATTTGCCTTATTTTTTTTTCTTTATTCTGTCCTGCTGCCTGTGTGAACTGTTTTGTAGGTCATACAACATATAATATATGATCTTGAAGCTTATTGAACAAAAGTCTGAGAAACTAGAGCCTTTCAGACTGTGGTTATAGAAATCACAGTTACAAGATAGAGGCATAACTTAATGGTCTAATTTGCAATGGCAAATGATTGTCTACAAGGCAGGGGGTCCATCTGCACTTAATGAAATAGAAATGTAAACACAGTGGTTAACTAGTTAGTAAGTCATGTAGTTAAAGGCTTCCGGACGTGTACCAGGCCATGTAATTTTAGCCTATACGGTATATAAAAATACACTACTGGATGTAACAAAGCAGTTCTGGTCTATTAAAATACTTGCGAGTGGCATAAGGGAACAGAGTGTGCACAGATAAAGCTGTCATTCCGTGGATGATAAGCCAAGCTAACTAGGGGCCAGTTCAGCTTCTTGCTCTCTCATATTAGTAGTGGGGTCATGCTATTTGCACACACAAGATCTTGTGCTACTTTTGAGGCAGGAGTAACTTAGCATACCTATATTAAAGATCCTTCCAATATTTTAAAAAATAGGACATAAAAAATGGCTGATAGGCTTCTCTGGAACATTGCTGCTTCTGATCAGTGGTGTAAGATCAGATGGATTGGTGCTCTGCACCGGAGTGCATCTTGTTTTGGTTGATTTGCTTGGCTCATGTTATAAATGAAGGCGTTATGATGGCTTCTGTGAATAGATTTCAGGAGCTCACAATGGAGGACAGGGAAGATAGGTGAGTTTTATGGGTAGGTGAGAAGCAACATCAATAGCATTAGGATATGACAGCTTGTTTCAAAGGACACATCATTCTGCCTTCAGAAGAAAGTAACAAGGAAATCTGACCTGTAGCACTTGAATTTATTTATTTATTTGCTTCCCTTGAGGCTAAAGGCAAAAATATTGAATTCTCAGCACCTTCCTTAGACTGCAGTGCAGAGCCCTGAATTTGATCCATGGGCTCCCTGGGTAGAGCATAAGGAGAGTTAAGCACTTCAGAGGATGCTGTGCTGAGTCAGGAGCTGCTGAGTGCAGCCTGAAGGGAATGGTGAAGAAAACACATATTCTAAATCCTTCCTTTACCGTGGATTAAATGTTTAATAAATGGCTGGTCTGGGATATAGCAAATATTCTTGCTGTGTACTTTAGGGTCTTCTTGCCAATCTTGATGTTCCTTTCTTAACTTCAGAAAGGTTAATGACATCATTTGGAAGAGAAGTACTGCATTTACACCGAAAAGATGAATGTACTTAGAGTACTCTGTCTGTGAAGTTTTTTTTTTTTTTTTTTTTTTTTTGTGTGTGTGTGTGTTTAAGCTTTACTGCAGTGGTTGTCTGCTGGTGCTGGTTTCTAAGATGCCTAGCTGAGGTCATTTCTAAGATGCCTAGCTGAGGTCATTTTACTGTAACTACATCAATTAAATTCACTTTAAACCTGATGAAGACTTAGGATGTAACATAAGAAATTGTTGGGCACTTTACACAGTGACTGTCTCATGTAAAATGCAGGAACAGTCATCTGGATAGGAGCCTGGTCTCTTAGCTCTCTGAAAAGAGACCAGGCTGCTGGGGTGCAGATCACTTGTACATTTCATAGTGTTCCTCCTGTAAACTTTGGAACAACTGTACATCCCCTGACAACCAGTGTGCTGCACAGGCTGGGAATACCCATAAGCTGGGGAGGGCACAGGACATGTCTTCTGTGACCCACGCAAAGCCTTTCTGTTAGACTGTTGACTTAAAAATCTCCTGTCTGATATGTTGCAGATGAAAAAGAAGTCACTGCAGCACTGCACATATATCCTGTTTGGGAAGATCGTGAGAAATTGGCATTTGTTACTACAGAGAGGGTTTATTGACAAAGTCAATGAACTTTGCCTAATACTAAGAAGTTTCTGCATATTTTGAATATCAAAAGTTCCCATGGCCCTGCTTCTTAAAAAATTCGATACTTTGTGAGTTTAGAGGTTGTGGGCACTTCCTCAGCAGGGGCTTTTAGGTTTGCAGTTTTGGATTTGGGCACCAAACTTAAGTCTATATCCTATTTTAGGAAGCAATTATTTGTGTAAATGTGGCTCTTGTGCTTCTTCATGCACTTCTTTCATTCAAAGAACCAACTTGATGGTTAATTATTTTCAAATCAGTGACTTTCTCTTCATAAAGTAGTGAATTACTGCAAAAAAGGCTATAGAATTTTTTGTTCCCTAGAGAAGTATCACCCCTTGGTACAAGTAGACAAAACTTACATTTTTTTAGAATAAAAAACTGTAATATGGTTTAACTACTCTCCTTATCCTTTAGCGTACACCTGGCTTTGACTTTTAAATTTTGTAATACATACCTGACATTACTGAGCAACGTTTGTGTGCTAAATATTTATTTCAATCAATTTTAAGACTCAACCTCCGATTTGTAGCTGCTGGGAGCTTCCACACCGTTCCTGATCAGTCAGTGATTTGTTTCTTAAAACTAAGATTTTCTTACAGATTGCTTACAGTTAGGGTTTTGCTTGGTTTGAGGGAGAGATGGGGAGGGAAACAGGGACTGACTTTAAACAGTGTATTTTACAAATATTGCATGCATGTGACTTTCAGACTGAAAAAGTCATTATTACATGTACTTCCTCAGAATTCAATGAACTCAACGCAGTGAATTTGGACCTGCTTGGCTTAACTCTAATGTCACAATGAATTCCCTTGAAATCAGAAAACCTGTTTTTTATAGAAACGTACATTTGCAAGTATTTCTCAGATCAGGGTCTTAATTGACCTTGTAAGTGCTTTAAAAGTACTTTTTTTTTTTTTTTCCCCCTGCAGATTTTAGTGTTGCATGTATGGCATTCTCCTCTATAATTGTTACATTGCTAAGCAGACAAAAACAGGTCTGCATGGGTAGGAAATACTTTTCTGTTGAATCACATATGACCTGAGTACTAGTTAACAATCTTAGACATTTCAGAACTTCTAACTAAATAATTTGTTTTTCAGGGTGAGATGGGTGCAAAAGGACAGGATGGTGTTGTTGGTCTTCCTGGTGAAAAGGTATGTTCTTGTATGGAAGTATGTAACAGGGAAATGTTCACTCTGACAGCAGCTTATCTATAATTACACACACAAATGTGAGGATAGAATGTGTCTGTTGTTAGAAAGCTCGTTTCTGTTATGTACACTTCCAGCTTTCTGTAGCACACTCCAACCAATAGTATTGTCTGCACACGCTTATGGTTATCTAAGCAAATAACCATAGCTGAGAATGTTTATCAACCTACCTGTGTATTCAAGAAGGTAAGTTTCACTTCATTTCAGGATGTTACTCATTCACTTTGTCCAATTTAAGGCAGTCGTACAGATTTGTTGAGTTCAGAGCTAGTTACCTGTATTAGAGGAAATGCACTAGTCCAAAATCCTGATATCTTCAGTATAGAGGACAGCCCTCATAACACTGAGGAAACAGTATGCTGCTGGAGATTATAATCATTTCACCTCTTGTGATTCTTTTGTTTTGTTTTGTTTTTGTTCCACCTTTTAGCTGGAAACCACTTAATACATAAGTGAATGAAGTTTTCCAGATACATGCATTAGACCGTTGCACAGATTTTTTTATTTTTTTTTCCTGTGGTATCTGTAACCTCCTGTTTTAAGTCTTCATCCATCAATACTGTCAATTTAGGTTCTTTTTCATCATGCACTTCAAGTTTCTGTCCTTTCAGCACCATAAGCAAGTATTCCTTTTTAAGGCAACTGTTGCTGTGATAAGCTCAAAATTTCAGTATTGCACTTGATGGTTGACAAACCCCTTTCACACGTATGCAGCATTTTAGTAATGGCATGGTTTTGTTTATTTAGTAATTATCCACATTTCGAAGCACTGAAACAAGCAAGAATTTCACTTTAATTGTGAGATTTAAAATCTGTAATTACCAGGATATAGAATTATGAAATTGTCTTTCCCTTTTACTTACTATTTCTTTCTCAAACTATGTTTTTGTTAAAAATAGGAGCTAGATACATGACATTACAAAAGAGTTAAAATAATGGCATTTGCTGCTTACGCTAAGTTATGTATGGTAAAAAAGTGAAGAGCAGGGCTGCAAAGATGTTCAAAGGACCTTATAGTGCTGAGGAAGTGAATCATAAAGTGGCATGCAAAATTAATTGAAAATAACTGTAAAGTGATGGAAAGAAAAACAAGCCAAAACTTACGTATTTCATATTAGACTCTGGATTAGCTATTACTGTTCATGAAAGTGATCTTGAGATTAGAGGTCAATGAAAACATACGCTCACTGTTAAGTACTAGCCAAATAAATAAAATTAATTTAGTAAAGATTAGGGAAGAGAATGGAGAACAAAGAAAAGGCATTTTAAATTCACTATTGTTAATAAAACTGCCTTGTGATGTATCTTGAATGCTGTATACAGTTCTGGTTCGTACATCTCAAAGTGGATATAATAGCATTGGAAAAGGTTCAGAGGAGGTGTCAAGAGTAATCAGGAGCATTGGGCATCTTCCAATTAAGATGTGGCAATGTGGACTTCAGTTTGAAAACGTCACTGTGGAGGGGAAATGTGTTGCATTCTATAAAAGTATGCTCTATAAAAGTATGTGTGGAACAGAAAAGATTAATAGGGATTGTATTTATTTATTACACACTCTTCCAGTGAGAGAACTAGAATATCCGATGATCTGATAGCAAGTTCTGAAAGGATAGAAAGGATAGATATTATATCCTTCTGCTTATAACAAAATCAAAGTTGGAACTCTGCCATAGGATTTAAATTGTTTGAAAAAACTGATTAGAAAGTTGATGAAATAAAAATCTACGGAGGGTGTCAAAGATGGGCAACACTGCTTCTCTGAAAGTTCTTGAACTCCAAGATGCTGAAGTCTGGGAAACCCACTGGGAAGTCTCTGTGTTTGCCCTGTTGTTATACTTTCCATAAGCATCTGTTGTTGCCAGAATTTTGGAGACACACTTGACCAGAGAAAGCCTCACAGAACCATAGAATCATTAAGGTTGGAATAGACCTCCAAGGTCACCTGGTCCAACCATCCCCCCCCCACCAAAGTCACCCACTAAACCATATCCCTAAGCACCATGTCCAACCTTTCCTTGAACACCCCCAGGGATGGTGACGCCGCTGCCTCCCTGGGCAACCTGTTCTAATGCCTGACTACTTTCTGAGAAGAAATTTCTCCTAATTTCCAACCTTCAATTCAATCCAGTTAGACAGTTTTTACTTACTTTGCTTCCCTCAGTGAGCTAGTGGGAATAAATTCTTGTCTCTCTTGTAAATTACCAAGTGACATTGCTTTTCCAGTAAAAGTTATTATTGCAGTTTTCATGCAGTTTCCGTGGTTATTTTTTTTTTTTAGTGACTTGCAGATTCACTGTGAGGCCAAATCCCAAAGCTCCTGTTAGTTTATATAAGGCTCAGCAGTCAGATCATATTTAATCTTGAGACACTGTACTTATCCTGAACAGTATACTTTTCCTGAACAGTATAGCTCTTTTAGTTCAGACTACATAAAAGTCATATCACTGTTGCAAATTAAAAATGAACTACTGTGAAATCTGAAACTGGCAAGACCAAAAGCTGTTTAATATATATATATATATGTTTATTTTGTACATACATAGCTAGATGAAACTGAGATACAGCCAGCTGGTTTATGCTAGCCTGAGTTGTCATGTCTATGTAGAGTAATACAAGGCTGGATGGAATTATTAGCATCTTTATGGAGGTCGAATCACTTTATTTTCTTTATATTGTGAAAGGTATTAACATGGTCTGTCTCTCAGTTGATGCACCAAGAGCTGTGTGAATTTGCGTGTCTGCTATTTTTGAGCTCTTTTTTTTTTTTTTTTTTTTTTTTTTTGCTGGGGTGTTCTGAATGCTAGAAGTGTACGTGGATTCAAAGACAACTGAACAAAGTAAAGGAAGAAAAATCCTCTGAGAACTGCTAAGTACAAAGGCATCTCCTATATTTCCGGAAGGGGAGGCGCAGATCGTGGAATGCTGAGGGAACATTCTCAGGAATTAGCACTGCTTATCCTTTTCTTACACTCCTCAATACACATTTTCTGTTAACAGAGATGTGGTTTTGTTTGACTGGGATGTCTAATTCATATTTTTCTGCAGTTTGTGCAGATATGACCCGGTCACTAACTATTCAGGAAAAAAAAAAAAAAAAAAGATACAGCTATTTTGTATGTAAATGCAGGTTGATACTTAAGAGAGAAAAAGGGCTGGTGCACCCAGAAACTATCCATTACAATACTTCATTGTTCATATTTCTTTCTGTAAGGAAAAGTTCAAAGAATAAATATGTGGCAGATCTTAATCATAGAATCATTAGGATAATGCCATGTTGCTTAATTCATGTGACCTATTTTTGAAACTTTACCTTAGAATGAGATAAACTGGACTATTAGAAGGGCTGTTTCTGTAGAACTGCTTACCTCAAATCTACCCATCATTGCAGTGAAAGTCTAAAGCTAGAATAATCCTATCTGATCAACTTTATTACTTGAGAGAATTTTACCTCCCCAGAAAATACGATATACTTCATTTTCAAAATCTACATAGACAATGAAAAGTTTACAGATTTTCTAGGCAAGTCTGTAAGTCTTCCTTTGTATATGGCCTTGACTTTCAGGGATCTAAGAAGTGAAAATAGATTGTGTACCTCATTACATCTTCAGTCTCTCTTCAAATGTGATGTTTGGCCTTCAGTCATTTATAGGACAGGTTATAGGTGACAATAGTTTGCAGGTGGCCCTTGATACAGCCAGAACAATTTCTCATTCACTGAATGCTGCAGTGGTTTTGCAACAGTTGTACTGGCTAATACTTGCAGATCTAAATGGTGTAGACTGGTGGGAAGTTCTGCCATTTGAGAGGTTGGACCTGCTGTGTGCTAATCCAGAGAACAAAGTTTAAGTCTTGATGACTCCAGAGTGACATAAGAATAACTTTAGCACACCTGTTTCCGAAAGAAAACAGATGTCTGTTCAGGCAGTTCTGTTTTTTCTACTGTAATTCTTGTAAGCTGCCAACATGAAAAGCAAGGTTTCCACTGACTGACAACACCCCACACCACAACAGGCCTGTCATGTCATCTGCCTTCAGGGCAAAAGCAGTCAGTCTGACAGTACTGGTGACCAACCTAGAGAGTGAAGAATCAAATGCAGTCCCTGTGGAGCCCTACCACAGGCCCTCAGAGCCAGAAGGTGGTAGATCACAGACACCATCACAAATATTTGTGTCTAACTACCTAGTTTCTTCTTCCCTGACCTTTTTCAGGGAACCTTCCTCAGAGGTATTTTTAAAACAGTAAGTCTTACCTAGGGCAACAGAAGGAATTCTTAAAAGTATCAGAGGAGAGTCGTTTGTGGTGTTAGTTTATAATTCTAAAAAATCAGACAGCAATAGTCCTCCCTTGGAAGGAAACTGACTTCAATTGTAGGCTACCGGAAGATATGGAAAACATTGCCATAATCCCCTTCCTGCGATCAGGACTGGTTTGTGACTCAGCCTTCTGTGGAAAATTTGTCAACGTATCTATCCAGTTATGATACAAGAAGAACTGAAATGTTGTAGTAAATCAGAATCACTGTGTGTGAGTCCTTATGCCTTGGCCAGTTTGAAGGTCTTCAGCAAAGGCTATGAGGACAGAGCAAACACTTGTCAAAGAAGCAGTGTGTTAGCATACTTTATTCTATGCTGATTAGCAAGTGAAATTTTCTTTGGATACACTTCTTAAGCTATTTAGTACAACTGGATTGCAGCCAGAGTGCTGGCTGTATGGCCTGAGAATAAACATGCTGAAATTAAATCTGTCCCTGAAGCAGAGGTTTGAGGAGATTGGAGTGCTCTAACGTGTAGGATGACAATTGCCTATCTGCTTCATGTCAGGTTTTACAAGGTAAGCAAACCTGGTCTAGCAGTTGGAGTAATCTCATTACAGCAAGAACTGCTTGCTCTGCTGTTCGAAGCAGTCTTTAGGTAATGTTTGTGTGTGTTGCATTACACCACTGATGAAATCTGAGCAAGGTTGTTACATTTCCTGGGAAGTATCCTATTAAAAACAAACAAACAAACAAACAAAAACACAACACTGTTTTCCTAGCATTCCTGTCATACTGAAATGGTGAGAGAACTCTCCTGTTGGTGAAACCCAGTTTCTTTACTGCCATGATGATCTCTTACTGCTTACGGATTGCATTTGTGCAGGGCCTTTTCATAGCATGTACCGAGGGATGGATAGAGATAAGGATGATCAACTTCACTGCTATACTTTTTGTGTTCGAAGAGAACAGGGTTAATCTCTCTGCTCTTCCAGTCCAGCAAACCATCAGACTTTGTAGTAAGGGTATCCTATCTTCATACTTTTTTTGTAGTATACTTCTAGATAGTCTGACAACTTAAGGGGTTGTACACTTTGAGCCATGGCTGGAAGTTTCCAGCCTTAAGAACGCATTCTTAGACCATTTCTGAGGTTGCCACCAGACCTTCTCATTCTCCTTTACAGGGAGTTTATTCTGTCACTTTCCTTTCCTGAGCTTCTTGTAAATCTGAACAAACTGGGTTTGATTTGCCTCTGTATAGCTGTGATTTTTCTGTTTTCTGTGCTTCTTGTTTCACTTATCCAAGCAACTGAGTAAGTCATTTCTTTGTCTTTGCTCCTGGGTCTACAGTACCATGACAGTGAGCTCCAAATTAAAACTTTACCTCGTGTCCAGGACATAAATAATGTACTCCTGTTTGTTTGATTGTGTTTTGTTTTGTGCTGTGTTTTGGTTAATGTGGCGCTTTCACACTGATTGGCATCTAAGTCCCACCACACCACTCTCTTGATCTCCCTCCTCTACAGAACAGAGAAAATAGGATGGGGAGGGGGAAAAAAGCTCATGGTTTGAGGTAAGAATCAGTTGATTTAAAGGAAAAACAAACAAAAAAGGGGAGGGGGGGGGGGCATGTGGAAGCAAAAGGAAGAAAAAAAAATTGTTTAGCCCTGCTCAAGGGCTCAATCAGCAAGTATTGTTCAGCCATGCCTTGGGAAGCAGGGCCTTAATACCCATAGCATTTTTTTGAGAAGAGAGATGCTTTCCTATTGAAAGTTGTCCCCCCCTCACGCTTGTATTTCTGAGCATGATGCCATACAGTATGGAATATCTCTTTAATCCCTTTGGTCAATTTGGGTCAGCTGTTGTAGTGATGCCCCCTCCTCACCTTTTGCCTAACCCCAGCGTTTGGACCAGAGGGAGTTGGAGAGCTAGCCTTGATGCTGTGCTAGCACTGCTCAGCAGTAGCCAGAACATTGGTGTGATACCAGTGCTTTTCTATGTGTAAGTGCAAAGCACAGCATTGTATGGGCTGCTGTGGCAAAAGTTAGCTCCATCCCATCCAGACCCAGTACAGTCAGCAGCAGGAAAATCTTTAAAGAACGTACTTCTCTGGTAAATGCATTGAGAACTTATCCTTTCTGCAGGTCTCTAATGTGATGTTTTCTAACATGGTGGACTACTTCCTAGAACTTAAGCACAGTAAGCAGCCTGAAGCAGTCAAGATGAACCTGCTAGCTCTCTTGGCATATTTGTTTAGGAACAGATCAGTCTCTGTGTATGAGGGTTTTCCTAGTTCTGACAGAGAGGTTGCCACCATGGCATGTAGGGGAGTGCATATGTTATGGGTCCTACTAGCCCAAACACTCTTAGGCTTGTGAGGATGTGCTGATGGCAGCATGTGTTGAAGGATTTAAGCTGCTGAAGGTGAATGATTGGCTCTATTCTTGACCATTCGATATTTGTCTGTTTTTTGTTTTTTTGTTGTTGTTGTTTGTTTGTTTGTTTGTTTTTTCTATTATGGAAATACTTTTTCTTCTTTCTCTACTACATTCTGTAAAATACAACTGAAGTAGCCAGAAATGTAATTCAGAGGATTCAGATGACTTACCAAACCAAAATACATTTTCGTCTGTTCCCCTGTAACCAAGCTTCCATAATAATTGCTCAATTTTAGTCCATAGTATAGATTTCATCATGATTGTGATCATGCACCTATATTTGTTGAACTACATTTGTGAAATACTTGTAACTCCATTCACTTTTAATACCCGACTTTCAAATCATTTAGCTTTACTATTGTATTTTTTGCATTATTTTTTCCAATCTAGATTATGAACAGACATCCTAAAATATTAAATATTTTGAGTAAGCTCACCAAAATAACTTTTTTTTTTTTTTTACACTAAGCCTGTAGAAGCAGCAAAATATTCAATATGCTGTGCTTTTGCTACTGCACTGTGTGGTTACTCCCACAGTATACTACTAAAATAAACAGTTTAGACAGACTGAAAGGAGAAAGAAATGCTTATATGAATAAAAACAATGTTTATCATCACACAACTTAGATTTATATTCAAAGTCAGACCAGAGAAAAAAACTAAGTGTACGTTTCAAGAGCTCTACCAACTGTACAAGTGCTATTTGTACTTCCAAGAATGATGAAGATGAGATTTGGTACACGTGTGACTGTACAGTAGTTATCTGCAAAAGAATTGTTCCCTTTTTTGTTCACTTGCATCTATCTGTGGTGATGGCCAACAAATTATACACAAACTCACATATTTTATGATCTGGAAGACAACAGGACCTGAACATATAATGTTGTTTGGTGTTGGTTGGTGATTTTCTCATTTAATGAGTTAAATTTGTAATCTGAAATCTGTAATTTCAGTTTTCTCAAGTCCATTAACAATGTGCTTTCTCTGCACTCTTGCAGAGTCTTAGCTGACTCTGAAACCAAGCACTGACCATTTTGTTCTCATTAAATTTGATTATCCTTTTGCAGTAGAGTTTTCTTTTGTACAAGTCAGGAAATGATTAGTAAAAGGGTTCCCAAAATGTGATATGGATACCATTTGTAGTGTCAGAAAAGCATGTTAACACTTCCTGAACTGCCTCCTTTGCATTGCCTGGTGGGAAGAGCTCTGTTTTCCCTTAACAGTGCCTGAGAAAGTGAATTTGAAAACTGCTATGAAACATTACGATACTTTTTTTTTTTTAATTACAAGATTATTATTTTAATTACAATTAAAACAAACAAACAAAAAAACTCTTGCAGAATTCAAAAACTCAATAAAATGCATGGCTTAGAAATGCCCAGTGTGTGGTTTTCCAAATACACGCATTATTTGAGAGCTTTAAGAGAAGAAAAAAAAAAAAAAAGAAAGAAAAAAAAAAAAAGGACAAAAAAAGACATGCAAGTACAGTGTGGAACTTCAAATTACTTTTGGAGGTAGTTTTAATACCCATCTCCATACTGAGTTATTCCAGGGTCAGATCTTCAGAGATATCTTTTTAGAACAAAATAGAATAGCCAGTTGGAAGGGACCTGCAGAGATCATCAAGTCCAATTGCCTGGTCACTTCAGGGCTAAACAAAAAAGCATATTATTCATTACATTATTATAATGCCTCTTAAGCACGGGAAGCTTGTTATATGTACGTCCAAATTAAATTGTGTCATCATGAAGATCCTTGTGCTCATTGAACTGCTTCAATATTGCTTCAACTAGACCATGGAAACCCTGTCTAGAACTTTTCAAGTCTATTTGACTTTATAGAAGAGTCATGGGCATGTGGCCTGTTATGCCAGTCCAGCATGTGCTCCTAGAGCATCTCACATTCACACAGGCATGCAAATCTGAAGAGACATTGGTGTTGAGCTTCCAGTGACACAGTCTTTTCCTTGCAGCTGTCTTGAAAGATCTCTGCACACAGCGTCTTCCACTTCTCATGTGCTGTACAGATCCTTGACAGGGGTTAGGGTATTTCCAATGTAGCTCATCAGCATCCCTGAGAAAGATTCCAGAAACGCATACGGAGCACTGGATAGATGCTGCTTAAAGCCATTTTCCTCATTTTGTATATTACTCAGTCCAATCCAATTTCTGAGCTCCTATCATTGCTAATCAGTTACATTTCAACATTTTTAGATGAGGTATGGTGATAATTTGTACAAGTTGTACAGCTTCTGAAAAATTCCTCTGTTGCTTTACTTTGGAGTCTACAACAAAGACTGAAGAGTATAATCACTAGCATAGAAAGAAATATTTGACAACAGAAACATTTTCAAAGTAGAAGGAAAATTATGAGCTCTATTAACGTAGGGCTGAAACATTTCAATAGGAAACAAGATGTGATTTTTTTAATATGAAGTTTGATGGGTTAACAAGTAAATATTAGAGAGAGAAAGTGGTTTTACAGTTGGAAACTTTACTATCATTATATTAAAGCCTTGAGTTTGAGAACTGCTGGCCATCAGGTGGTTGGATCTCATTTATTGCAATAACAAATCTGGTATGTGTTTCCTGTGTTCTTTTTGTGTTTTCAGTGATATCTTTGAGTATAATTAATGTATGTCTGATTTAAGACATGATTGTATGTGAAAAGAGTAGTTCTCTATAGCTTTCTGATTCATGAATACACTCTCTAAAAATCCTGCTGGGCAAACACTTTATACCATTATGTTTTCCAAAACTTGTTTCATTGCTTCAGCATGTATATTTCTTGCTCTGCTCTCTCTTTAACATTACAAGGATGTGTTTTGAATAGCCTTTGATCATAAATTTGATTCCAGAGAGCTGTCTGCTGTGCTGACTTATTTTTGCCTTATTAGGTGATTTTTGCAGTTCCCAACTGCAGGAACTGTTGAGCTCCCTGGTTTTTCAGCTCCTAAAGTTACACGGCAGCAGTACGGTCGGGTTCTTGCTAGCCAGCTGCGGGGCACCAGATTCCACTGCGTGCGGCGGCGCCGCTTGGTACTGTTTCCTTTCTGGAGAGAATGGTGCTAGTGACGGCTTTCAGTCATGTGCTGCTGGTGAGCAGAGACTCCATCCTGCATTAAAGAATTGTTGTTTTTTTGAGGAAAAAAAGCCTGCTTTGGTCCCTTAGCTAACCCGTGGCATTATCTTCTGCCCTCTCCTAGTTTCCGTCAGAATCAGACCAGCCTCAGTAGGACAAAAGTACAAACTGTGTTTGGGAAGCCAGACACTAAAGCTTGAATTGCTCAGCATCAAAGCAATAGGCCAGTGTCACTGCGGTGAGATAAGAGTGGGGGCAGAAGGGGAGGGCTCTGGTATTTGAAAGGAAATTTTAATAACCAAAAAAATGTGGCCAGTCACATGGGCTCTGAATGCAGCGACTGCTATTGTTACATGAGGTGTGGCCAAAGAAACCAAAGGTCACCATCCATTTTATAGGGGTCTGGGCTGCTGGGAGCAAAAGGGACCGTGGCATGCTGCCATGTAGAAGAGGCTTTTGTTAGTTTGTTACATAACATGGAAGTAAAAAATAATGCAGTCGTTAAATAATGCAGTCATTAAATGCAGCTCTTTGTTCCTTAATCAGAGATTCATGAATACTCCAGCTTTGAGTCTGCATGGCTCTGGTGTGCTTAACTGCATTTGAGAAGGCTGAGTCAGGGCCTTGCAGACTTCGAATGGGAGGGGGGAGGTTTGAGGAGTTTTCAATTATTTTTTTCAATTATATTTTTTAGGCTGTTTTTGTGAGGTTTCTGTAGCACATGGTGTTACTTTTTCATTATTATTTTTTTTCTGCATTCAGGTAGAGACTGGAAATCTTAAAACTATTATTCTCAGTTGTTCTCTTCTAGTAAGAAGGTAGGGCTTTAAGAAAAATACCAGCTATTGCAAGACTTGAAATCATAAAAGTTGGCAGCAGTGTGTTGCCGGAGATAGACTAATCAGGACGGAAGGAACTTTCTGCTGTACTTCAGTGCTGTACTACTTTTCTGACACATTCTGCTTACTTGTGTTTATTTTCTTTTGAGAAATTAGTCAACTTTACTAAATATAACACTTCAAACCCAATGAATTATTGATTTGTAGTAGAATAACTTAAAAATTATGACGTATGTTACTGTTACTAACTTAATTTATATATAACATTATATTCTGCCTGATTAACAACAACCATAGTTCCTGAAAAAGTAGCTCTTGAAATTAAAAAAAAGAAAAATGTTATCCTGGTGTAATAGAAAATTTATACGTAGTACAAATTGTATTAGTGTACTGTTTGGACTTGAGACTATTAACTATTAGCTCTTTGCCCTTTCTTTGGTGGGTGAGGTATATTATTCATATAATTATTTTAAATCCAGCTCACTTGGATTTTTAATGTCAACAAACATACTTTCTCCCCTCAAAATGTAAAAGTTATAATGTCAGTTTTATATTCCAAATTCCATGTAAGTTGCTTTCTATTTTCATTCATAGATACCAAGCTGTTGGATATGCAAACTTTTCTATCCATATAGTAAAATCATTCACAGGTACAGAAGAACAGGGTGTACTCCTTAAATTGCCATGGCTAGCCGGTATTTCTCAACACCTAAGATTCATACCGCATGCTTCAAGCCTGAATCGATCAGATCAATGCTGACGTGCTGAGGCTGGGCCAAGTCTTGTCTAATCACCAGTCAGCACTGTTGCTCTGGCATGAGGCTCCCAAAAATAGAAACATAAGAAGTCAAACAAGTAAGTGGAAGGGCACTAAAAGAAAAAGTGCTGCTAATTCCACTGTTGACTTTCTGTCTAATGCATTCTTGTTCCCAGGCCGGGCTAAGTAAAGCAACTGGAGCAGGGTGTGTTTCTGCAGATGGCTCAGCAGTGTCACACGCAGCCCAGCTGGTTGACAGGTGTTTGATTTGTATTTAAAAGTACCTCACACAGGACGGAATTTTTTCACAGATACTGAGAAGTTAGTCAGCTGATGCTTTTTGTTCAGAGTTTACTCCCCTTTCACTATTCTCCCTTTTGTTGTGAATGGCAGTTCTTCTATTTCTCCTTAAAAATGATGGTAATACTGCTTCAGTCTGTAAAAAGAAAGCATTTGCCTCAGACACTAAATGGGAGAAATTAATCCATGCTAATTTTGTTTAATAGTTGGAACCTGCTACCTTTACATGTAGAAGATGTATCTTTTCTTTATAGCTCCTGCCAATGAGGTTTCAAGAAATGTTTATTTAGCTGTCCATTTGTCACAATGAACATTCCCACATAGAGCAGGGATGGAAGGAGAATGCAAGACTTCTGGGTATGGCAGTTACATACTGTGTTTGCCTCTTCCCTTAACATGAGGAAGTCCTGGGACTTTCTTGTACAGAGCTTTGCATGACTGGAGTAAAAGAAATTCCGTGCCCAGAAGGGTATACAGATACATGAGATACAACCAGGGCTAAGAGGGAAGAGTGAAGGTCAGAAAGTACTTAATGGGTGAGAATAAAAAGTGTACAATGCTAATCCTTACTGCTTTTATTGTAAGCTACACACATTACTCTGTATAACTGAAGAGAGATTGTCTCAATTGTAGTCTGTTTAATTCAGTTTAAGGTTTTTGTTCAAATAACGGTAAGTGGAAGAAATAACGATCTTTGTGACATTTGTTAGTCACTGCCATAGCAAGCAACTCTTCTGGCCAAACCAGCATTGGAAATAGTAGAGTATCAGGATGCTCTTATAAATAATCTTTGATTAATGTGAACTCTCAGAATCTTAGGCAATAGCATCTGTAACATAACAGTGACTATGAGCAGTTTCTTTTTTTTTCCCCCTCTATTTTTCTTCATAATTTAGTCTGAGCATTTTTGTTTTCTGGTTTTCAAATCCATGAGGTTGAAGGAGATGAGACTTCAGGAACTGTTAACAAAAATAAATGGATCTTTGCAATGATGAGGTTATAATACCAGTGTTGTGAAATAGCCAGAAGAAATACCACACTATAGAATACAGTTTTCTGGCAGTATGTCTGCTGAACTTGAGAAGAATGAGAAAGGAATGCAGCCAGAGAAATGGCTGTCAGAGTAATGTTGATTCTCTAAATAAACAATGTTTTTTAGTGAAAGGATGATTAAAAGCTCCTCGTGTAGAGTCTGTGTCCCTTGGATAGTGGACTAGCTCTTTCTGTCTGGCATCCCAGATGTAGGGATAGGCTAATAAGCATCCAAGAAGTCAAGAAAATGGGCTGAAAGGAAAAGTTACAACTTTGCTAGGCTGAGATGCTTCTATTTCCTTCAAAGCTGCACGGAACTGATAGCAGAAAGGTATACATGGACTTATCTTTAGGAAGCAGCCCCTGTGGTTCCTGTGCTGAAATCAGATTGATTGATACCTGGGTTCACAGGTGAGAGAACTGTCTGCTGGAATTCTAAGTATATTGACTTTATAGCCTCTTAAATCCAAATACTAGTCCATGTCCAAAATATATCAAAAGTCAAAAGTGAAAAGAGAGATTTCTTAAGAAAGTATTACACTTCTGAGTGTAAATGGAGACAGGGAAACTGTATCTGGAACTATTTTACTCATTAATAGTTGACAGGGGGGTTGCAGCTATACAAGCAAACCAACACGTGGTACTTCAGAACAAATACTGAGCTGAGTTAGTTCCTAGATTAGAAATTCCAGTCTATATGCTACCTATTTATTTTGGATTCACCTTAAATCTGTAATTTTGGTGCTGCTTTTTTGCATTTTATAGCTGTACTGTTAGACGTTAGACTGGTTGATGTTCTGTGGGACAGATCTTTGTTAGTGTAAACTGCCATTTATACCAGCTGAGAATCTCCATCCTGAATACATAGAAATAGATTAATATATATGGAAATATATGGAATATATACTGCAGAACTTCTAGGTTATGGAAATTAATATTATAAGTTTTTTCTTTCTTTTTTTTTTTTTTATTTCCTGCATTAAAGAATAGCCTCCCACCTATAAGAGGTTGACCAGTGTAGTTTACCTCAGTGCACCAATTATTATGGTAAATATAATAGTCATAATAATTTTATTATTTTAAAAATACTGCAGCAATTCATTAGTTTCAGAGAATGCCTTTTAGCTGATAATTAACATTATTGCATTTCAAATATTATTTTAGCAAGGTCAATTAGATGAATTTGCAGTTCCGTTGAAAATGTAATAGGGTTTAGATTTGTTTTAAGGCTGTGTTATGGCTGGGTTAACAGTAAATCAATAGATGGTATATAAATTCAGGCAATTTTTCTCTCAACAAATCTACTGTAAAGGAAAAAATGTAGTTATAAAAATCTATCAGCTGTCCATGAGTATAAGATCACTTCATATTTTTTTTCTATTGTGTTGTCTTGGATGATAGAAGTATCCAACTGGCTAGACTTAATATTCTGAACTGTTCGTCCATAAGAAGCTATGAATCTCTCGGAACCTTTTGCAGACAGAAGCCTATTTTCTTATTCTCAGTACTCTACAGGAAATGTTTTCATGCTCTTCACATGGATTTTCTTTATGCTCTCTGTATGGTGTCACAGGTCAACTGGGCAGGATTGTTTTGAAGCTCATGTTCAATTCATGTTGTCACTACGTTTTTAAATAACAATGGGAAAAATATATTAAACATTACCTATTTCTATCAGTAGTAAAGTATGTTGTGCTTCTTACCTTTCTTACCTAAGGGATGTAACTGGGTGATGAGCCATTAAAAAAGGTGTTAGTTGGGTCATTTGATGCAGTCTGAAAAGCAGAGAAACAAAAAATGGTAAAAGCACTTCAGGTTCTAGAACACAGTGAGGCAGAATAAGGAGCAGCTGCCCCATTCCACTGCTCTTTGGCACCATGTGGAGCTTTACTCTGGCTTGTAATGCTCCTTCATTGCAGCCTCTGAGGGCTCTGCAGACAGTAATGAATTTCCTCTTAAAATACTGTAGGAGGGAGTGAAGGAGAATAAGGTATAAATCACCTGTTGGAGGTTACATAAAACAGAGGCACAGTTGGGAACCAAACATAAGCTACGTGAGGTCCTGGTTATGTGCTGATAGTACGGTCTGCTTTTATTTTTCTCCTCTGTCTTGTTGTTAAGTTCCTTGCAGTCCAGTCCTGTTCTTCTTGAAATCAGTGTCAATTATGAATGCTGACTGGAAGTGTGTCTTCTGGACTGAGGAATCAGTTCTTGATAAGGAATGTCAAGAGAAAGAAGGCAGCAGGCACTTCTTTAAGGACGTGTGATAGCAATGAACACCACTCATACTTGTCAAAAGCATAAGGAACATCTACTGACAGTGGAGTCTCTGCTTCTGCTGATACTTTTGTTAATGGTATAAAAACCTCTACTTGACATTTATCATAAAGGTTTCAGGCAGTTTCTTATCAATTTTCTAAAGAAAAGGAAAGGCAACGTACAGGTCTATAGTTGTGCTGTGATGCATGAAAGGAATTGGAGTGGCCCTTTCATCTCCTTTTTTTTTCATAACAACTTCTCTAACTTCTCATGTTGTATGAAAATAATTTGTGGAGTAAAATACAGAAACAAACTTCTGATTTATGCCATGTGTTTGTAAAATATGTATGTTCTATGTATATGAATATAGAAACTGTGGTAGTTGTGTGCTTTTAGCACATGCTAATAGAAAAATAAAATAGGAACAAAGTCAAGTAGAGAGTATGTAGTCCGGAGTAAGGAGCCCTGTGATTGTGTTCTCTGGAATTGTAAACCGCTTCTACCTGCTTGTTAATGAGTTTGCTTACAAAGCACTGAAGCCTAAATTTTCAAATGTCAAGTTTTCAGTATATTAACTTCTAGGTGACATGAATGGCTGAATCAGTCAGCCTTGTCCCAGAGATGGTTGTCAGGAAGGGCTAGAAATGAGGAAAGCTGGTGCCTCCTGGACTCAGATTATGTCATTCTTATTGGGCTGTTCTCATTTGCCCTTTTCATGAGCAGCTACACAGAAAAGCTGCAGGAGCCCTGATCACTAGGACATCAGGACACGCAAGTTCCCTGACCAGCCCTCACTCCTGTGCCTGAACTATGGAGTACCAGTACTATGCTGAGGCTGCTGTAGGAGCAGAAGAGAGCAAAGGACACTTATCATTGACCTGTCACCAGCTCTTTCTTCACTAGGTTATTTTAAGGGAGGTTCTTATGCTTGCTTACATGGGTCACATTTGATAAAAGAGAGCCTTTGCAGCCCAGCAAGTGCTGAGCACTGGTAGTTCAGCAGTAACCAAGTGGGAACAAAAGGATCACTAGACACAGTGAAACCAGGGTGTCATAATATTTAGCACAAGCTTCCTGACATGACAAGTCCTGGAGATTCACAGGGCAAGTCTTAGCATATTTTTATGAGTATGTTTTTAAATAATTAATATTTTATTGGGTAGTTCTAGCCATTAAAATGAGCCTGCTTAGAGAAACAAGGAAATACTCTAGTAGGCTAAGGGACATGTCATCTAATGGAGTATAATTGGTGTGGGATTGTTATTTATTAAAGGGAAAGCTCTGACCCTGTTGGTGGCTCTTGACTCACTCTGTACGTGTTACGAGGGGGAGGATGTTGATAGAGTCCTGTGATAGCACATTGTTGAACATTCCGCTCCATTTCTGCAATGCTAAAAATAGTTGTCCTCATTTTAAAACACCGGGCTATTAGATTATTCCAAGGGTCTGGCATACTCAGGGTAATGGAAGGCACATATCCATAAATTATCAAAACAGTAAGTAGCATTTGACCGTGCTGATTTTACTTCTGTTAAGATGCGTTTCCTTGCTAGTAACCCTGAAGTAGCAGGTCTATTCTGTAAATCAAGCTCCTGGCAGTGCCCCAGTAATTTTTAAAATAAAAGAAAAACTGCCTGTTGAGGATGGAGAAGCATCTGACTGCCTTTTTTTTTTTTTCTTTTCTATTCATAGAAATCATATCTGTAAAACAAGTATTTAAAATATTTTACAGTAATTGTCTTTCCCAACCATGAGGAGAATCTCACAAAGTTCCAGTACATTTGACGTTATAAACTGTGCTAATGCCTGAAAGGATTTAAATAGCAATACACATTCTAAATCATTGATACAACTTTCTCTCAGCTCTTTTTGTCCTATGATTAGTTAATGTGACACCTAATTCATGTTTGGCGCCATACTATCATACTATTTGGTAGTACAAATAACCAATGCACTTAATATAGTTCAGATACTTAAATATCATGTTGTTTTTTTTTTTTGTTTGTTTGTTTGTTTTAAATTTGAAAGTCTCTTTCTTATAGGGAAAAATAGCAAAATATGGAAGTCAAGGTATAAAAATTCTTAGAAAAATAATATGCATTATAAGGTAGTTGCTAAGCACGTAGACACCATTCAGCTTATTGTATCTTGAAAACCTTTAGCTGAAAAGCAAATCTCTAATTTAATAGTGTGTTGCAGTGCAAGTAAAAACTGCAGAATCAATACATGATAGATACATTGAGAACCTGATTATACATACACTGCACGTTTCCAGAATAGTAAAGCAGCCACAACATTAATCATTCTAGATTTAATAAGAATCAATATTGATGTGGAAGATTATTTTTGCATTATAGTGTTGAATGAATAATCATTTGCAGAACACTGATTAACCAGTGCAAGACAAAACATCTATGCCTTGTCTTCATAAAAACAAACAACAACAAAAAAGACAATGAATGTGTGCTGTTTTTTTCTAGTTTATAATGATCTAGAATAGCAGTGAAGATAACATATTATCTGGTAACTATTAGACTACAGAGAATATTTCTGAATCCATGTTGTAAATTTGGAGAAAATGAAAGACCAAGGATTACTTGTGATGATTAATTAGAATTTTTCCCCAGCATGCTAGCATCTATTTTTACAGAGGGGAGCTGCAAGGAAGATGTTGAAAACTCTGCCTTGAGCAGAGTGAAAAAAATGCCATTTTAACAGGCTATTTTAAGCAATATTTTAATTGTTATATATCATGAGTGCTTTGTATTTATTTGTTTAATTACTTGTATCATTTAGATGAATAATTGTTCTTTTATTTTCTGTGTTGTACAGAGATTGGAGTTTTTTCTTTGTCTTTGTTTGTTCTTGTTTGTGTCTGTGAGGCATTTATCTTCCAATTGGCTTGGAGTCAAAAAAGTGAACTTTCAAAACTTTTTTTGTTGCTGAATTCTTGCTTGGCTAGAAAACTGAATTGGATGGTGTGCAAGTTAGTAGGGCAATGAATGGAATGGAGAAAGCATTTGATTTTAGATTTTTTTAATAAGTCTTCTAAGTTCCCACTTGAAGTTATTAGAGTATGGATGAATTTATCAAACAGAACTTAGCAACTTCAGATTTATTGCAACCAAAATTAATGTACTTCACAGCGGCATAATTTATAAATCTGTAAATGGAGGCTTTCAGTGGTATAGCTTGGTTCTCACTAGGTCTGTAATTGTCTAACCAGCTTTGCTGAGAAGGGTTGGAAAGGGAAGTGGTTGCAATATCTTATAGTTTAATTCTATGTGAGATATTACTAGTTTGCTTTTTTTTTTACTATATCTCTTGCTTCAAAAGCCCATATTACATGCAAGATTGAATTTTCTGTAGCTGTTAACTCAGATCTACTGTTTCTCTCTCTCTCTCTTTTTTTTTTTTTTCTTAACTTTTCTTCTGCTCAACTAGTCTTAATTCAGAAACCAAAGGTTGCATGATCATGTTATTCAGACTGGACAATTACATTTTAAAAACATTTCTTATAAAAAAGGTGTTTGTATCCATGTTCAGTGTCACGCATAAGTCCTAAGCATCCAGTCTCAAATGGTATTTAGAAACCCAAATTAGATTCTTAATTTTCATGAGTAGTGCACAAAAGAAACATTTCTGAGGGGGAAGAGGGATGTTAGTAACAGACGTACAGATGACTTACTGTGCTTTTATAAGATCTCAGGTAGAGGAGGCAGTAATTTAACAACATAACCTTTTGGTCAGAGCATTCGCTTAGGAAGGTTCACTTAGGACAGATTTTTGCCTGCTTGGTTGCACCAGATCAAGGCATAGCATTTCATCTGGTGCAGTAACTTGGGCACTCCTCTAAAGACAGGGAAGAGGTCTGAAATTTCCCTTTGACTGAGTAGAGCCTAGAAGCCAGCATCCTGCTTCATATATACTGTAATTGTAGGTAATTCTATGAAACATGAATGACTATATCAACTATATCACCTCTGCCTGTGTTTTTCAATGAGGACAGCTGTGGTTGTGGTGATTTCAGTGCTGAAAAAATGGGAAAAGTAAGTTCTGTGCATCCCTGGATGGACCATTTTGTAAGATGGAAGAGGCAGAAATGTTTCTCCCAGATGTGTCACATGTAAGATAGCACCACACCACTCAGCTCACACGTAGCAGCAGAAATACATTTAAACTGTAGATCCCTCTGGGCTCAAGCACCTATTAAATATGAGGGAGAGCATGGAAATTGTGGCACCCTTGCTAGGTCTTTAGGTACTTGGATAGTATGCAGGTGTTTTTCTAATATATGCATATATATATAAGAAATATATATATATATTCTGAATCATAACCTGAAATAAAAGTAAGGAAATATTTTCACATGATCCATACTCTCTGATCTTCTTGTGGCTCAGTCATTTGAAGCAGTCTGCAGCTACATCTGCTGCACAGTTAGATAACCTGTAATTGTTAATTGTCTGATATTTTGGATATGAAATGTATTTTAATCAAATACAAATCAACAGACATAAATGACCCTAGAAATCAATTCAACAACTCCGTTCAAAAAGAATGAGAAGGAAATATATCTCCATTTTTTTCCACCTTAATTTAGCTCAGTCTTGAGTTAGGTCTGAAAAAATGATGGTTATGTATATTTTGTTTCAGGGGGAACCTGGCTTAGTGGGTGTTCCTGGCATGCCTGGTCTTACTGGTTCCAAGGTAAATTAAATAAATAAAAAAAGTAGTCTTTTTTTTTTTTTTTTTTTTTTTGTGTGTGTGTTTGTGTGTGGTTTTACTCTCAACATCCTTTTTGCCAGCCCTTCAGTATCTACATAAATTGTATTTGAATTATATATCCAGTTTTGGACTTGCACTTTGGGCATGACAGAGGCATCATGTTATACAACTTCACTATCAGCTGCTCTCTCACAAGAGAAGGGGCACAAGGCGTAGTGGCACAGACAGGCTCACCAGTGTTAGTGTGCATTAAGAGCAGTTGTCTAGGTCTCAGAACTGCGGAGGGTCTTTGTAGCCATGAGATACGCAGATCCAAGAAAGTGAAATGTGGGTGTCCTGATCTCAGCACAATGAGATGAGGGAAGCAGTGCGCTTTGTACTCTTCCATTTTAATCTTTTGCTCCTCTCTGGAGGTGGAATACTGTAGGAAGGCCAGAACTTGCAAAAAGATGCATATGCAATTTAGCGTTTACTGGTAATATTTGTTAAAGTTGTCTGGTTGGAGCTGTGTAACATGAGAATTTTGTAACATTAGAAATTTTTGAAGTAATTTAGCTGTGGTTAGTGTAGGCTAATATTTTTAATGTTGTCAAGTGGAAATGACATAAACTTCTTTTTTTTTAACTACACTTTTTGTTGACTAAATTTCTTATTTTCTCTAACTGAATTTTCTTAAGTGTGGGAAAAACTCTGGACACCTAAACAGTATTTGTGAAAAAGGAAGGAAATGGTTAATAACCCCATAAATTGGTACAGGCAAAGAACTGACTGATTGAGCAGAAATGTTTATGAAAATGACCTGAGTGTGGACATGAGGTTGAATATAAGCTAATAGTGTTTTTCTAGTGGATGTAAAGTAAAGCACATATCGAACCACCTTAGGAGAACATCAGGGGATGGTGTTTTTCTGTATGCTTGGTACTGGCGATCCGGCATCTGGAAAGTTATGTCATGCTTGGGGCCTCCTTCATCCTTATTATTTTGAGAGATGTGGAGAAACTGAAGAGGGTCCAGCAGGTAGCTAGTGTATGTTCAAGAGTCTAGAAAACATGGCCTGTGAGGAGAGTTTCAGGGCACTAAGTCTGTCAAATCTGACAAAGGGAGCAATTGAGACAGTCCTGCAGGTCTCAGGAGCCCAGAAGACAGTCTTCAAGAGCAGCTTCCTCAAAGCACAGGGATCTGTCCCTTGTGATATACTGGAAACTGAGCAAATATGGCAGAATGTCAGCATGGATGAAGTGGTTGCTCCTGACTGAGCTCAAAAACAGAAAGAAAGTAAACAGTGGAAGCAGGCATGAGCTACCCAGTAGGAAAATAGAAACATTGCCAAAGCGTGTGGTGATGGAGTTAGGAAACCAAAAGCTCATCTGGAATTGAATTTAATGAGGAATTCTGAAGGGCAGCAGGAAGGGCTTCTGTGAAGTATTTTGGCAGCAAGAGGAAGACTGAAGAAAATGCTGACCCACTGCTTCATGGAGTGAGGGACATGGAAAAGGCTGAGAGTACTCAGAGCCTTGTTTACCTTGGCTTTCACTAATGAAGTTTGCCCTCAGGCCTCCCAGGTACTTGAACATCCTAGCAGAGTGTGTTAGGAATGTTCCTTGCCCACTGGAAAGGAAGAGAGTGTTAAGAAGCACTTAAGCTCAGTGGACATGTAAAAGATACCAAACAACATGCATCCAGTGGCTGCTGAGGTGACTGCAACGCTGCCCTCTGTTAATGTCAAGAGATCGTGATGACATGGGGAAGTTTCTGATGACTACAAACAGGCAGACATTGCATCTGTCGTCAAGAAGGATCCAGGGAAGTGCAGGCCAGTCAACCTCACCTCTGTCCCTGGAAAAATTATGCAGGAAATCCTGAAAGGCATTTTTAAACACATGAAGGACTAGAAGGTGACTGGGAACAGCCAGAATTGATTCACCAAGGACAAATCATGCCTGACAATCCAATTCCCTGCTCTGATAAGATGACAGGCAGTGTGGATAAGAAAAAGTGGATATTGTGTACCTTGACTTCAGACAGGCTTTTGGTAGTCTCCCATCATATCAATGTAGTCAGAGCTGTGAGATACGGACTCTATAAGCGGGGTGGAAGATGGGCTGTATTGTTGGGGTCAGAGGTGGAATAACTGTGGTACAGTACAATAACTGAAGGCTCTAACCACTGTCATCCCTCATGGATTGATACTGGGGCAAGTATTGTTTAGTGCCTGTATTAATAACCTGGATGATGTGAAGTGATGTTACTACTCCATCCTTCCAGATGTGGGGGAGTAGCCAGTGCACTGGCAAGGTAGGAGAAGGGTATATACAGAGGAACCTCAACATGCTGCAGAAATAAGCTAATGAAGTTCAGCAAAGGCAAACACTATGTTGCATCTGGGATGGAGGAGACACCAGTGCAGGCCCACCAAGATGGCCAGGAGCTTATAGCCCATGATGTACAAGGAGAGGCTGAGGAAACTGTGCTTGTTCAACCATAATTTGAGGTGATTTGGAAGGGAATAGACTTTACTGCTATCTGCAAGTAATAGGAGGGTGCAGAAAAGCAAGAGCCAGATTTCCCAAGGTGGACTGTGAAAGGACAAGAGGCAATGGACACAAGCTCCAACCAGGCAAATTTTGACTCTATCTATGAATAATTTTTATATAATGGATTGGGAATTGAATAAAGACAGGATTTGCAGTCTTACAAATGGGAAAGATAAATAAAGAAAGTGCTTTTGCTTCTAGAAATTTGTCAAAAGTAAATAGTTCTGTTGCATATCCAAAATTGGAGAAGAATGGGAAGCAGGATAGAATTTGCATACATTCAGAAATTATTTCAGTAATTAACCACTCTTTTTTTTTGGTAAGAATATATGGAAGGTTACTTTACTGGATCACATATTTTGCATGCTTGGTCTTCGGTATGCTTTTAAAACTGACCCCTAAGCTGTTGACTGCATGAGTCACCCCAGCCAAAAAAGCAAATAGGGAAGAGAACACTGCAGGCAGTGCTTAAAAATCTAAAGCTATTTGATAATCTATAAGTCTGCATATCTCCTATGCTTTGAGTTTAATTCCCAGATGTGTATTGCACAATATTGTATCAATTGAACAATTTAGCAAAATGCTGCTAGAAAATTTGCAAGTTGTAGCCTGCAGTTTTAGTTGACCTCATTTAAACCTTGGACTATATATGGAAATGAAAATCTCCGAACAGGTGAAAGAATGTTTAGTTATTGCTCATTCTAATTTTTTGAAAGCAATTTAGAAACAATGCAAACAATGTTTTACTTCAGAATTCTTCCAGTCTTCTCATCTTCAAACCTGTAGCAGTCATGTGCATTGCACTGAGGCAGTGAGACTGAATTCTTTAGGCTGGCAAAGACATGGAAACCAGCTCTTTCCAGATGATTTAAGGGAGAAAGAGAATGTGGTTTGGTATGGCGTTTAATTAAGGAGCTTTTGTACTACAAGTATGTAATTTTGGCTATATTCCTGTTGTATATCTCACAAAACAGACAATAATATGTTAATAAAGATCTGACTAAAATATTTAACTATAATTCTTGTAATGTAGCCAGGTTGAAGACCATTTGACAGAGACATTAACAAATTAAGAATGCTACAATAAGATCTTTTTATGAGCTAAAAATTATCAAAGTGGAGCAAGAAGAGCATTACAACAGGTCTTTTTATTGGAAGATCATTAAATAAAGGATTCAATTTGCCATAATAAGATGAACTTGAATTAGTATTTCAAATTCTTCTTTTTTTTTTTTTTTTTTTTTTTTTTTTTAATAGTTGGTTATTGGGACAAAGTTTTCAAAGTGAAAGGAATGGGTTTTCCTTCTCTAAGTTACATCTGTATCTTTTTCTCAATTGAATGTGGTTTTGAGGCTTTTACAGATGACTTTACATATTTAAAAATTAACTTGAAGGAATTCATAGGAATAAATACATTGAACTCATTCTGCAGAATACCAAGACTGTAGTGAGTATGTTTAGTATCAACAGTTTATAATTTTTAAAGCCAGGAAGATCCCTTAGGCTGAACAAAAATATGAGCAATGATTAGAAAACTGTGGCAGCTTTTGTAGAGGTTTTGCATATTTCCGATATGAGACTGTCGTTATCCAAATGTATTTTTGTGTTTTAATCCCATAATAAAAATGTAATACAAAGTAATAAAAGTATTTTAAGGACTGCAGTTATTTGAAGAATGTTTGCTTGAGATATTTTTTTATTGTTTTGTGTTCCAGGGTGAACGTGGCTTTGCAGGTAGTAAAGGTGAAGACGGAGAAAAGGTAAATTATTCTGTTCATGTTATTTATTTTTTTGGTTAATGTATATGGAAAACAAACTGGTGCCTAGTTCCAAAGGCCTCTCTTAACCCTTTCACAGATAAAACTCTTACTTTTTGCTGTGTCAGTGATTCCTGAAAGGCTTAATAACAAGGAATAGTTTATGCATATTAATTAGCGTAATCACTTCTTTTAGAAACTTTTCTTTCTGTCTTTCTCTCTTCTCTCTCTCTCTCTCTCTCTCTCTCTCTTCTCTCTTTCTCTCAAGAAACAAATAATGAAGTCTAACAGAACCAGAACCACTTGACTCCAGTAGTGTCTACTGCTACCGTATTTCTATGGTAACTAGTAGATGTTTATTTATACAGAACGGAATGCATGATGAAATAGTGTAGGTATTTATAGTACTCAAGTTATTGCTTTTATAAATTACAAATGTTTTATAAAAACTTACTGAAATGTGTTGATTGTAATTACTAAATATTTTGCATTCTTTTCTCCTAAGAAAGTAAATTCACCGCAATTGCAAAATTTTACATTTTCTACAGCATGAGAAATAAAAACTAGTTTTAAAAGGTTAATGTTTGTTGATATATTCCTGTGTACCTACATAGTAGTTAGCATGAGTTTTGTGTCCTGCACATATCTGACTCGAATTGAAATAACTTGATTGCTTGTCCTTGCAGAATGCAGGTGCATTTACCTCTTCCTCAGACTGGCAGTTCTATCCCCTTGCCAGATGGACTGGCATGTTGTCCTAAGGACCTTCTTAGTCTCCTGGCTGGCATAAAGTTTCCAAGTGCAAATTCAAGGAGAAGCCTTTCCTTGTTTTGCAAGTGTGGGTATCAGTAATGGAACCTGAAGCAGTTTTTCCTAATTGCAGATATTCTGCATTGACCAGAAATAGTTGAAAAAAACATGAGCACTAAAATGGGAATGAAACTGGCCCTTTGGAAGGCTGTCTCAGCAGACAGAATTCTGGCCTGGGTTGCTCTAGGTGATGTGCGCTAATCTTCCTGTGGGACTGCAGACAAGTAACAGGTCATCAAAGACAAGTCTGTGTTGAGGGATGAGTGGAAAGAAGAGGCTGTTCTTAGCTTGCCTAATAGGAATTAAACTAACAATAATAATAGTTTATAGTTGAGCTTTGGCTCCTTAAACAAGTTACTACCTGGTTACTGCTTTTTTAGTAGTGTTTTGGCAGATTTGGATTAGGCAACCTGATTTAAAGATGTATCTTTTCTTGGACCATAGATAGTTTCTCTTCAGCTTGCTGTCTGAAAAAGATGCAGAAAATCATTTCTGATGAATGTGTCATGTGTTTATATGTTCATATGTTTATGTAGAATCATATCATAGAATCATTGAGGTTAGAAAAGACCTCTAAGCTCATCTGGTCCTTACCTGATGATCCAACCTTTAACCTAGCACATACATGTATGTTCGTATGTTTATATGTCCTTCAAGATGAAGAATGAGAGATGCTGAGATTCTGGCAATATTCAGACTAGAGAAAATGGTGAGCGGGTGGCAGCTTTTGAATCTAAGAAAGAGCAGTATATTTGTGCAGAGGCTCCTTTGGACAGTGGTATATTCACGCACTCACCATACCTCTTCAGAAGTGTCACACAGCTTTCCAATGTTCATATTTTAAAGAAAATATGTCATGGATTAATTTAAGCAGATTTAAAGTTGCAGAGGGTTTTCTTAGGAGGAAGTATTCCAGTAACCAGGAAGGAAAAAATATCAGAAGTAAAAGCCAGCATCTACAGCAACTAAAATTTATCACGTGAAGATTCAGTCTCTAAAAAAAGCACTTGTTAAGCCTGAGTGTTTCTAGCTTCACAGACAGATCTTATTTCCTTCATAGCATCATTATTCATCAGTTCTGAAGGGCTTGTTGATTTTTTTTTTCATAATTGCTCTGCAGCTGTGCCGTGCTTTCCTTGAGTTATATGAATAAATTGTGTTTGGACACAGGCACGTGGCTCCAGCTGTTGCTGCCACTCTCTTTGCTTGATTTCCCTTATATTAAGGCAGAGATAAAATGACCAAATGACTGGCAGTAACATTTTTCTTATGTGGAAGTTGAGTCAGCACATTTTAGACTTTTTTCCTATTTGTTTTTTAAGTTCAGAAGTTAATCAAAAGATTCTGTTTAAATGTTTAACTGTTAACAAGATATTCAACTGTCCTTCAAATAAAAGGAAATATGAGTAGAAGAACCCTTATTTACCAGTCATTGCTCAAAAGTATTTTTTTGAGCTACATATCATGATTTGTGAGGTAAGAGTGTATTTTAAAATAACATGAAGAAGATCTCAGTCTGGGCTTTAACAGTTACTCAGTTTGACCATAAATTAAATAATTTACAAGAATAATAATGCTGTTTCCAGTTACTAAACTCTGGTATTAAAAAGGTGTCAGTATCTTTCCATTATAACATACTGTCCAAAATACAATTGTCGTTCTAATTTGTGTGTAGTAAACACAATTAAGAAGTCTGGAACTTAAAATTTAATTTTTACTAATACAAACTGCTCTGCTAGATCTTGCATCTCAAGGAACAGGCTAAGTGTTTGAGTAATCTGTTTTGCATAACACCTAGAGAGGGTTACAGCTGCCTAAACATTAGGTATTTGCCATTTCAGACTTTCCACAATCTCCAAGTGCCACACACAGCTGGCAGAGACAGCACAGAGCTGATGGGAGAGCACCACTTCCAGGAGGGGCAGCTGCCACCATAGATTCAGAAATTAAAAATAGCACAAGATGCCTTTGTAGGCAGCTGACGCCCACTTCTAGTGAGTTGCAACAAAGAAGGTACATCAGGGAGACGTAGGCAACTGAGGTGAAAGTGATTGATCGTACGTAAATGAAAGATACAGGAGGCATCTTTAATTTAAGCTATTAAGGGAGATTCCTTACATTTAAAGGCTTAAATCTCTCTTAATTCTTTAGGCTTAAATCTCTCTCTTTAGGTTTAAGGGTTTCTTTGCTACACGTATGTCTCCTTGAGGAATCAGAAGTCTTGATCTGCCTTCCTCCTTTTTTCTTTTTTCCTTTTTTTTTCTCCTCTTACGTTGAACTTTGCTCTCTCTTATAACAGCCAAGAGTAGTAAGGGAAGCTACAGAACTGCAAGTTTATGTGCAGGCCTGCAAGTTTTCTCTCTACAGGAAATATACTCTTAGTGTAAATTTGTTTTAATCCTTCTTTGTATTCTGTTTTCTTTGTGTTCGGTAGGTAATGTCATTGTCTTATATGATAGTGTTACAGCTTGCAACAAAAGCATTGATCTATGTTCTATAGTATGATTGAGAAAGTATGTACTGAGAGCAGTTTTAATTGTTTTGCTGCCAGCAGGGAAGACTATGTTGAGTGAATCCGTCTTCTGTGAATACTGTTCAGTACTGAGTTTTGTTTTTTTTTGCAAATCAGAGGTAGCCTAAAAAACTGGGTGCAACAAAGAAGTAACAAGTGCAAGCAACTACCTGTAGAGGAGAATAACCATGATTTGGGGTAAAAAAAAAAAAAAAAAAAAAAATATCTAGTTTCAAATTAAAATCTTGAAGCTGAACACAGTGAATAAAGTAAGGCAGTTGCCAATGAAGGAAACTAAGATGTTTTAAAGAGCAATACTGTCTGCAATACTAAGGAAATAGTACTGTGCTATTTGTTATTGGTAAAGCTTCAACTTAAAAGTTGTTGGAAGGAGATCACTAGGAACAACTTATCTATGTAACACATAGTCTTTGAGGAAGGATTGCATGAATGAAGATTACTTAGTACAGAGTCAGCTGAAAAGGACTACATAACCAGCCTTCAAGCACGTAAGACTGCTTCATAGAGGAAGGGAATGGTATAGTTTTCGTGTCTGCAGGGGATAACACACGAAGTAACAGGCTGAAAGCAGGGCAAGGAAGATACTAGGTAGCTGTTAGGAAAGGCTTTTTAATTGTTCTGTTGTTTGTTATGGAAGTAATTTCCTCTTCCGGTGCTCTATACTTTTTATCCTGGTTACAGAAAAGGGAATGATCTATCGAAAGGCTTAATTCATTAAAATACAGGAGATAAGATTATCTCAAATGACTTTTCCATTTTCTGTTGATAACATCAAAATAATGCAAGTTATCACACCAATTTCTAATTGGATAAACACAGAGAACAGCTAGACAGTTTCTTTTTCAATCTATGTTCTTCTTTGGTTTTAGCAGCATGGTATTTAAAGTATGGACTAGGGAACAAAAGTTGTCAAGTGACTTAGTGGAGATTTGTATGTACATGCTTTTCTGCTTCAGATAAGAACTGGTTTCATTCACTAGAATGTGTTTAGCCACTTTTTTTTTTCTTTTTTTTTTTTTTTTGAGAAGGGTATATACATTCATACACAGTACTTGTTCTAGAGCATCACATCTTGGGGAAGACCAGTGCCCTTGCTCAGATACCTGATCACCTGCCAACTGATGCTCCCTTCCTCATAAAAGCTGCCATGGAATGCCTCCTTGGGTAGCACTGTACATGGTTGCTTGGATGTGTATGTTTATTTTTTAATAAATATAGCTACAAAGTAAATTGACCTAAATAAATGAAATCTAGAGGTCTCTGAAAAAAAATGTTAAGTACAATATTTTTTTAAAAGAAAGAGACTCTTTAAAATTTATTAGAGCAAAAATTGCCAAGCTTTTTTTTTGTTGTAGTTGTTAAATCATGATTTATCCCTTTTTACCTCCAGATTCTTGCTTCCTTTGGTAATGCTACCTAGTACTCTTTGCCTAGATCTCCCATTTTTCATCTCCTTATCTACCTCTTTGGTTAGAGTATATATTTACTGCAGTATATGCTTCACAGATACTCTTTTTTTCTGTAATCAAGCTAGAACACTGGTATTTCAGTTTTGAGGGACATGTGGAACCTCAACACCACATAAATTTTGTGATAATTTGGCACCCTGTGTGGAACAGATCTGTGTTTTATTTGGAAATAAAGTGGCAATTGAAAAGCC